TTATGATTTTAAATATATATCTATACCAATGATGAAATTAACTTACATGGTCGCTCCGTTTTCATTGCTGTTAATCGCTTGCATTAAGGCTTCCAATTCCTTGCTGTCATCTGTATGTCAGAATGCAAACATCGAAAAAAGAAAAAATGTCGCAACTACAAAAGGATTTTACAATGGGCGTCACGAAGGGGGCAAGGGGGCGCTTTCCACCCCGGAAAAAAGTGACACTCTGTTTATTTCAGTCCTTGCTATTTACGTTTGCTGCATGTTGAACCTCAGAAGTGTCTCCAATTCCTAATTATAAGATAAGAGAGGCACATATACGATGCATATTCATCTTCCTCCCACCGATTCGATGCTGCAAAATTTCGGCCGGCGGTGCCTGTGTTACAGCATCAACATTGAAAGGGGGCGGTTCATTGATAAATGCATCTGTGTCTACGAAGAACGAACGTAAGTACATGAAATGTTAGCAGGTAAATACTTTGCAGTTTTTGGTTTTGTTTGTTTTGAAAGTAATCTGTAATATTTCAATCGTTCTTATGAACAATTATTTATGTACATTTACTTTGTGACTGGACTCCGAACCAAACTTGTGATTTACTCATGTAGGCCTACTCTGACTCTTAATGGACTCGACCAGAAACAACACTGGTTTCGAAATAAGGGTCTAGACATAAACAAGGTCTATCATTAAAACAAATTACCTGATTTCACGTTGCTTTCATCTCGTTTGTGAGGCAGGTGTAAGTGGACGTGTGGTAAACCCCAGGCGATGTGGGGCAGGTGTACGTGGACGTGCGGAAAGCCCCATTGGATGCGGTTCTTCCTGTATACGAAACACATGTGGAGGTCTCAGTTAATAGCAGTTATGGACACGTGGGACTAATCTAGGCCTACCGATGAAGGAATTTGGCTCCGCGAGAAGGCCTTTACATAAGATTGAAAATCATTCGGATTCAAAAACTGGCATGCTTCTCCCCGGTTGCCAAAGTAAAAGTAAAATCTTAACTTTTTAAAGGGATATTACGCCCAATTGGGCTACAAAACGTGCTTTAAACGAAATTTGAGCATTTAGCATTAGGATATATACGTCCACACAAACATCTTGTAAAAACTGGGAGTATTCTGGTAATCTTGCGAGACCCATGCGAGAATGAATTTTTGGGGTCAACATTTTGACTCTCAAAAACGAGCTGTGGTGCTAGTCTTGATACCTGCCGCACATGCTGCACCGTTTCATGGCATTCGACGGACGTGCGAAAAACAACATTTGTGTGTTGGTGCTGTGTGTATTACGTGTCGCACGTATCGTGTACCTTACACTGAAAGACACGGCTGGAAATACGTAAGTAATGCCCCTTTAAGTTTGCTAGCTAGCTATTTGATTTTACGCTCAATGGGCAAGTGATAGCGGAAACCATGTGCTGAGCATAATCGTGGTAAGCAGAGAAACTACTTGCTTAGCAACATTAGGTATTAAGCAACCAAAATGCCATTGGATTTATACTGCTTGTGACTGGTTGCCAACTGTTTTCTGCTAAGTAAGTAAAGGCATTATTTTCCGCTCAGCAGATAATAAAGCTTATGATTTTAAATATATATCTATACCAATGATGAAATTAACTTACAGGGTCGCTCTGTTTTCATTGCTGTTAATCGCTTGCATTAAGGCTTCCAATTCCTTGCTGTCATCTGTATGTCAGAATGCAAACATCAAAAAAAGAAAAAATGTCACAACTACAAAAGGATGTTACCATGGGCGTCACGAGGGGGGCAAGGGGGCGCTAATTTTTTCCACCCCTGGAAAAAAAGGTGACACTGTTTATTTCAGTCCTTGCTATTTACATTTGCTGCATGTTGAACGTCAGAAGTGTCTCCAATTCCTAATTATAAGATAAGAGTGGCACATATACGATGCATATTCATCTCCCTCCCACCGATTCGATGCTGCAAATTTCGGCCGGCGGTGCTGTGTTACAGCATCAACATTGAAAGGGGCGGTTCATTGATAAATGCATCTTTGTCTACGAAGTACGAACGTAAGTACATGAAATGTTAGCAGGTATCAAAACGTTGTTTCAAATTTCAAAGGATCCGACGATCGTAATGATGGTGATGGAATTGGTCCATGATGTGTTCAACCTATCGCGCGCTATAACCAATCTGATAGCGATGACTGATCATGGGTGCTGTTAATATTTCATTACAGACATCCTATTGAGTCGGTCAGTCAGTCAGTTAATTAGTCAGTCAGTCAGGTACATACAGAGAAGACTCTAGGCTGGCCCCGGACAAAAAAAATCAATGCAATGTGAGAACTCAGAAACAGACACTGAAAATGATATAACCAACCTGCCAGAGCAACTGCAGCACAGGCTCCCAGCATAAGAACTATGAGGAGATTCATGATGATGACGACGAGGTAGCAAAGGCTTTGCAGAACTCCGAATCAACTGTAGCAATAACGGTGGTAGTGATGTAGCCTAGTGGTAGCGAACTAGGGCTAACTATCGGCCTTATATAGATTTCAGCCCCACAGGGAATCTGCAACCAAAAGAAAAAAAAGTTCTTGAGATTGTTTGCCGATCGGAAACATGTTTGTAGAGGTGATAGCAATTTCCCCTCAGAGCGGCAAAGGGAGTTTGCCTATTTTAGCCAACATGTTTGCTTTTGTCGAAAGTAAAAAGCTTCAATCTGAGATGAAACATAACAGTGGTAATTATTTTTCTTCATTTCCGTCGTTTACCTATTCATCGTGCTTGTTTGTTCTAACGTAGATCAAAATTGATATCATCAAACAACTCGATCCATCAAAATTATATGTACTTCGTACCTTAATAATCAGAATTCTTCTAAACACATAATTAATATTTACATTATGTGGACACACTACTCCAACAAAAGTTTCTAGACTAAGTGTTGTCCGATTGTAATTGCATAGATTGTGCTGGTATTCTGGACTAGCATTTTGTCTAAGTTTTTACCTTTATCATCTATATTTTGGTCCTGCACTTGTCCTTAAATTTCCTTGTCAACCTAACCATACCCTATCCCCTCCCTTCCTGGCCTCTTCATTTCATTTACCCCGTTTTTTCCCTCAAACTAATTGTTTTATTCTCATATTTCTTGGTCTATAAGAGTTCTTGAAGTGCTACATTCCGCCAACCGATTGTTCCCTGTCACCCCAACCCCACGGAGTCTATAGTCCAATTAGTAGTGGCACCAGACTACAATTGGGGGGGGGGGGAATAGAAGCAAGGAATTATTATATACTCTGATGATATCCAAAATCTAAGGGGAAATTAAAGGAAGAGCCCAATAACTAAATGGCGACTAAAAAAAAGCCCCCATGCTGCGGTTTGATACATCTTCTCATGTCTTATTCCTGAAAACGACTTCACTTCTAAGTTGCTTATTTCCGGACCATCTTGTTGTACACCATTCTGCGGTTTGATACATTTTCTCATTCATACGTACGACTACACTTCTAAGTTGTTGTTGAGGCTTATTTCCGGACCAATTATGACAATGGCTACGTGGGGGTGTACACGTGCTTAATTTAAGTTACTTACTTTCCCCTTAGATTTAAGATATCGTCAGATTATATTTTGACTGCCCCCCCCAAAATATTTCCTTGTCCCCAATTGACCCTCCCCCATTTTGTGAGTCTGGTGCTGCCACTGATTGGACTATAGACTCTGTGGCGGCGGGAGGGGGGGGGGTGATAGGGAACAATCGGATGGCGGAATGTACATTACATTTACATTGACATTACTCTTACATTTGGATAAGGAATTGCGAGAATATAAGACAATTAGTTTGAGGACAAAACGGGGTAACGGGGAACCTAAAGATGTGATGACAATGGGCTGAATATTTGGGTCATGGTGCAGTGGTGATGAAATATTAAAAAGTGAAAGGAAGCGGTGAGGAAGGGTGGAGTAGGGCATGGTTGGGTTAAAAAGGAAAATTTAAGGACAAGAGCAGTACCAGGAATGGAGGATGTAGGTGAAAGAAAGAAAGGCAGGGCTACTCCAAAATACCAGCACATTCTATCCAATTACAATCGGACGGCTCTACAAACGTTTCTTGAAGTAGTGTGTCCACATAACGTAAATATTAATCACGTGTTTAAAAAAATTCTGATTATTAAGGTGAGAAGTGTATTTACTTTGTGAGTTTAATGGATTGAGTTGTTTGATTATATCAATTTTGATCTACGTCAGAACAACAAGGGTGATCGACGACGGAAATATAGAAAAATAATTACCAATTACCATTGCCCCCCCCCCCGCCAATTGTAGTCTGGTGCCGCTACTAATTGGACTATAGACTCCGTGGGGTTGGGGTGACAGGGAACAATCGGTTGGCGGAATGTGGCACTTCAAGAACTCTTATAGACCAAGAAATATGAGAATAAAACAATTAGTTTGAGGGAAAAAACGGGGTAAATGAAATGAAGAGGCCAGGAAGGGAGGGGATAGGGTATGGTTAGGTTGACAAGGAAATGTAAGGACAAGTGCAGGGCCAAAATATAGATGATAAAGGTAAAAACTTAGACAAAATGCTAGTCCAGAATACCAGCACAATCTATGCAATTACAATCGGACAACACTTAGTCTAGAAACTTTTGTTGGAGTAGTGTGTCCACATAATGTAAATATTAATTATGTGTTTAGAAGAATTCTGATTATTAAGGTAAGAAGTACATATAATTTGTAAGTTTGATGGATCGAGTTGTTTGATGATATCAATTTTGATCTACGTTAGAACAAACAAGCACGATGAATAAACGACGGAAATGAAGAAAAATAATTACCACTGTTATGTTTCATCTCAGATTGAAACTTTTTTAATTTCGACAAAAGCAAACATGTTGGCTAAAATAGGCAAACTCCCTTTGCCGCTCTGAGGGGAAATTGCTATCACCTCTACAAACATGTTTCCGATCGGCAAACAATCTCAAGTACTTTTTTTCCTTTTAATTGCAGATTCCCTGTGGGGCTGAAATCTATATAAGGCCGATAGTTAGCCCTAGTTCGCTACCACTAGGCTACATCACTACCACCGTTATTGCTACAGTTGATTCGGAGTTCTGCAAAGCTTTTGCTACCTCGTCGTCATCATCATGAATCTCCTCATAGTTCTTATGCTGGGAGCCTGTGCTGCAGTTGCTCTGGCAGGTTGGTTATATCATTTTCAGTTTCTGTTTCTGAGTTCTCACATTGCATTGATTTTTTTTGTCCGGGGCCAGCCTAGAGTCTTCTCTGTATGTACCTGACTGACTGACCGACTCAATAGGATGTCTGTAATAAAATATTAACAGCACCCATGATCAGTCATCGCTATCTGATTGGTTATAGCGCAAGATAGGTTAAACACATCATGGACCAATTCCATCACCATCATTACGATCATCGGATCCTTTGAAATTTGAAACAACGTTTTGATACCTGCTAACATTTCATGTACTTACGTTCGTACTTAGTAGACACAGATGCATTTATCCCCTTCGTGACGCCCATGGTAACATCCTTTTGTAGTTGTGACAATTTTTCTTTTTTTGATGTTTGCATTCTGACATACAGATGACAGCAAGGAATTGGAAGCCTTAATGCAAGCGATTAACAGCAATGAAAACGGAGCGACCCTGTACGTTCATTTCATCATTGGTATAGATATATATTTAAGATCATCAGCTTTATTATCTACTGAGCGGAAAATAATGCCTTTACTTACTTAGCAGAAAACAGTTGGCAACCAGTCACAAGCAGTATAAATCCAATGGCATTTTGGTTGCTTAATACCTAATTTTGCTAAGCAAGTAGTTTCTCTGCTTACCACGATTATGCTCAGCACATAGTTTCCGCTATCACTTGCCCATTGAGCGTAAAATCAAATAGCTAGCTAGCTAACCTAAAGGGGCATTACTTACGTATTTCCAGCCGTGTCCTTCAGTGTAAGGTACACGTACGTGCGACACCTAATACACACAGCACCAACACACAAATGTTGTTTTTCGCACGTCCGTCGAATGCCATGAAACGGTGGAGCATGTGCGGCAGGTATCAATACTAGCACCACCGCTCGAGAGTCAAAATGTTGACCCCCAAAATTCATTCTCGCATGGGTCTCGTAAGATTACCAGAATACGCCCAGTTTTTACAAGATGTTTGTGTGGACGTATATATCCTAATGCTAAATGCTCCATTTCGTTTTGTAGCCCAATTGGGCGTAATATGCCTTTAAAAAGTTACGATTTTGCTTATACTTTGGCAAACGGGGAGAAGCATGCCATTTTTTGAATCCGAATGAGTTTCAATCTTATGTAAAGGCTTTCTCGCGGAGCCAAATTCCTTCATCGGTAGGCCCAGATTAGTCCCACAGTCATGTCCTTAACTGCTATTAACTGAGACCTCCACATGTGTTTCGTATACAGGAAGAACCGCATCCAATGGGGCTTTCCGCACGTCCACGTACACCTGCCCCACATCGCCTGGGGCCACGTCCACTTACACCTGCCTCACAAACGAGATGAAAGCAACGTGAAATCAGGTAATTTGTTTTAATGATAGACCATGTTTATGTCTAGATCCTTATTTCGAAACCAGTGTTGTTTCTAGTCAAGTCCATTACGAGTCAGAGTACATGTACATGAGTAAATCACAAGTTTGGTTCGGAGTCCAGTCACAAAGTAAATGTACATAAATAATTGTTCATAAGAACGATTGAAACATTACAGATTACTTTCAATACAAACAAAAACAAAAACTGCAAAGTATTTTCTCATTTTCCTACAATTTAGAGGAAAGAATACTTGCATATATCTGTCATTTTTAAATTCGTTTCAAGGCCCTTATCATACTGACATGATGTAGTCCGTGTATGTAAAGGCGCTATACGAAGTTTGTCAAACGTCCCGTGGTAACGAAGTGAAAATGTTGAGAATGGACTTTTGGCATTTAAAGGCTTATTATGAGCAAACTAACATGCAAAGGATGATTAAATGTTTGGGATAACCGTTAGTATAACTGGTCACATGGTTCATATAGTGTAACATCCTTTGTATTTGTGACCATTTTTTTCTCGATGTTTGCATTCTGACATTCAGATGACGCCAAGTCATTGGAAGCTTTAATGCAAGCGATTGACAGCAAGGAATACGGAGAGACCATGGATGCATTCCCACCAGGCCTGTAAGATTATTTCATTATAATTATTGTACATCAAAAAAAATCCATCCTTTATGATTTGCTGAGCGGAAGATAATGCTTAGCAAATTTACTTCCTAAGCAGAAAACGGTTGACAACCAGTCACAAGCAGTATAAATCCCATGGCATTTTGGTTGGTTACCTGATATTGCTAAGCACGCATTTTCTCTGCTTACCACGATTATGCTCAGCACATAGTTTCCACTATCACTTGCCCATTGAGCATAAATTAAGTAGCTCGCTGGCTAACTTAAAGGGGCATTACTTACGTATTTTCTAGCCGTGTCCTTCAATGTATTCACGTACGTGCACCAATACACAAATGTTGGTTTTTCGCACGTCCGCAGAAAGCGATGTACCGGTGGAACATGTGCGGCAGGAATCACGACTAGCACCCGACAGCTCGTTTTTGAGAGTCAAAACGTTGACCCTCAAAATTCATTCTCGCATGGTCTCGAAAGATGAACACAAAAACGTCAAGTTTTTATGGAATGTTTTTGTGGACGTTTATACCCTATTGCTAAATGCTCTTTCCAATTAACATCATTTCGCTTAAACACGTTTTGAAGCCCTCTTGGGCGCAATGTCCCTTTCAAAAGTTAACATGTTATACTTTGGTAAACGGGGAAAAACATGCGATTTGTTGAATCCAAGTGATTTTTAATCCGCATGTTTTATTTAAACGTAGAATTAGATGTTTGAAGTTTTTTAAAGGCCTTTCCGCTGACCCATTTTATTTTTAGCCAAATGCCTTCATCAGTAGGTGTAGATAGGTCCTATGTCCACATGGGCGTCGCGAGGGGGGGGGCAAGGGGGGGCACTTGCCCCCCCCCCTGGAAAAGCGAAAAAAAAAAAAAAAAAAAAAGGAAGAAAAAAAAGGAAAAAAAAAAAAAAAAAAAAGGCGCGAAGACAAAGTGGTGTAAATTTAATGAGTTGGGGGGGGGGCAAAATGTCCCTGCCCCCCTCTAAAACCGATAAATCGAGAATGTGTTGAGAAATACAAGCATTTTTTGGCAAAATCTTTTTTTGCCCCCCTCTAGAAAAAATCCTGGCGACGCCCATGTATGTCCATGCTAGTAACTGAGACCTCCGATTGTGTTTCGTATACAGGAAGAACCGCATCCAATGGGGCTTGCCGCACATCCACATACACCCCTACCACAAGCGAGATGAACACAAATCAGGTATTTTGTTCGAATGATAGGTCGAGCTTATGTCTAGATCCTTCTTTCGAAAGATGTGTTGTATAGTCAAGTCCATTACAAGTCAGAGTTCATGAGTAAATCACAAGTTTGGTTCTGAGTCGAGTCAAAAAGTACGTGTACATTGTTCCTAAGAATCTACGATTGAAACAAAATTGATATTGTATTTTTTACAGATGAGTTTCAGGCTGAGGATGATGCCACTTCCTTCAGGCCACGTCCCGCTGGCAAGGCGTAAAGGCCAACAACATCCATGAGTAATGTTGCCACGAGGGATGCTACTGGGAGGAAATCGTGGAATATCGCTAGAGAACACGGCAAGATACACGACCTGAACGGGCATGGTGCCCGGCTTAGTTAACGTAGAATTAGTAGCGAAGTCGTTCCTTTTATCTTGAAATGATTTATTCTTTCGTCTTGAAGTAATTTTGCTGTTTTTCTCCTCAGGTTTAAAGGTGGTACTTTGGGGTGATTATTTTTAAGCCGTTTGTCCAGCGTGTGTGACAAATTGTTTCTGATACTCAATATTTGATTCAAATTAACTATATATTCAAACATTGCGAAACATGATGGTAGATTTTGAAGGGAAAAACACCGGCAAAAATAACAGACAAGTTCCTGAGTATTAAACGCATGACGTAAACGTAATGGCAGAATAAGAAGGAGGGACGTTGCTTGCTGGTTCGAGCACGTACCTCCATTTTGTAAGTGCCTTTTACAAATAATATTCCTCCAATACTATGAAACTGCTTTGAAGACTTTTGGGAAAAGCGTTCAAAACCACACTGCAATTTCTCCACGAGGACAGACGGCTTTTAATTTGTTCTTATTGTTTAATTTGTTCACGTATATATTTCAATATAACAGAGTAGTATTACTCTGTGAAATCAACTTCAGTTTGAAGACTGTTCGAACCATTTTAAGAAACTTTAGTAGCAAAAGCTAGTTCGACGACCCGCTGCAACTGCGGTTTTACATAAAGTTATTCATAAGCATTTTGTCCAATACACGAAAGGAAGAAAATGGCAGAGCCCTAGCTGCAAATATTACAATTAATTTTGGCTTAAGTAGACCTTCGTCATAAAGTACCCATATCGGTTGGTAATGTTTTGGCGTTATAACAAACTTCGGTCCGAATAGTTACCGGCAGGTAGACCTTTTGTAATGAATCTGTCGATTAGTCACTTTTAGCAAGATTCTTTTACAAAATCAGCTGTGATTCAGTCGCTTACTTATACGATCACGAACTTGTTTTACTTCAACAAAACTTTCAATGTAATCTATTTTTGTTTTAAAGACCTAGAATAGATCGGGTTTTACTCTACAAAGTTGATCTTTAAAAGTAAAATCTTAAGACAATGTGCAATGATTTCTATTTACAGACAGATACATCAATGTAGACTCGTACCTAACTACCGTAATTCTTTCATTGCTTCAGGTTATCTCTAACTTTTATTTCAACTTTTCAAATTACTCATTTACTGAACGACTTCATTAAATTAAGTAGCAAAGCAATCTGTGTGAGAGTGGAGTGTTTCAGATATAACAGTGTCTTGGCATGAGGGATTAGGGTCTTGCCGAACGATGACAAGTGAACATGTACAGCGGGTGCGCTAATGTAGAATGAAAAACAACACTTTTCTGGGCTGACTAAAATGAAAATATAACAGCTTGTAGATTGGGTGAAGAAGTAGCGGTACTGACTTGTGAGAAACCAGTCTCCCCCCCCCCCCCAATTAGTGTCATTAGGCCTACCGGCTTTGGGAGTGACTAATCGTCTCAAAACGCTTGTCATCTCGGCCTTCCAAACTATAAAGTGCATGATCGTCCGGTTTGAACAGCGCCACCATTAGAAGATGCAGGTACCAATAAGAACGACCTTGCATGCTACGCCTCTGTTAAAACATTATAGTCTGCAGCCCCAGTGGCATAACGGGGGTCCAATTTGAAGGGGAGGGGTGCTTAGGGGTCTTTATCTTAATGGAGGGGGTGGCACTCAGTGACTTTTTTTTAACTTCGCAAATCTCATTTTCACCTTTCCTAATTGGGTGTGGACGGGACACAAAGGGAGGGTGGCCCTTGAGCCCAAGAACCACTCGGTAGCTAGCACAAAATAATGGGAATTAGCTTCACACCCGAGAACAGAGATTGTACATCCATTATCAACGCTAGAGGGCAGTGTTCAGGGACATGGAATAACGGGAAGCTACACACCACCAGAGAACACAAATTGTATGTATCCATTATCACCACTAGAGGGCAGTGTTCAGGGATATGAATTGCTTTTTGAAGCTAATCATTTTTCGGTGTAAGCCAATGGATGAATCCAGGCACGTGATCACGGTCCTTGTCTGTTTCTATAATCTTCATCCCACATCATATTTGTTTTAAACTTCACGAATCATATATTTTGTAAGGCCGAGATGGGAAGCGTATTGAGACGGCAGTAGTTGTCACTCCCTAGAGACGGTAATGACACTGATCGGGGGGGGGGGGGGGACTTGGTCTACTTTTTCACAAGTTAGTGCTACTTCTTTACGCAATCTAGGGTCTGTTAGATTTGAATTTAGTGAACCCATGCAGAGAAGTGTTTTTTCGTTTTTCATTCTACATCAGCGCATCTGCTTATGTCCCGCTCTGATTAGAGTTGCCGTGAAGTACGGTATTAGATTGGAGCAGACCAGTGGGACAATAAGCCTCTGTACTAATGACGTCTCACTTTGTTTATGTGTGTGCTTTCCTATGGAGCCAGTGGGGGCCCACGGTCCACTAAAAACCATAGGAGAGCACACACGTTAAAAAAGTGTGACGTCATTAGTACAGAGGCTAATTGGTTTTCAAGTATTCAGTAACATAATCCTCCCCCCCAAAAAAAATTCCATCTTGTAATAATCCTCCCTCATTTCCTCATGGAAGGCCGAAATGGGAAGCGCATTGAGACGGAAGTAGTAGTTACTCATCATCAGTCTGATCACCAGACCAAAAGAATCTGACTACTTTGACAACTCTTGTCCATTTAGTCAGAATCGTTTCGCAATTCATGTGGGATACCTGGCAAAATATCGTGCGGTTTTATTATTTAACACTTGTATTATAGCTGATTACTGCGCATGTGCACTCTTTACGTTATTCTTTTTTAGCAGCTTCATTTGGATCCCCAGAATTGTTGATTGCAAGAAGCAAAACAACAGCAGCATAATTTGAGAGAGGGGGTGGTTTCCTCCATGCGTCAATCGCTTCTAAAAAGTTGGAGGGGGGACATACCTCGATCGTAACTCATGCGAGTGCGTAGCGCGAAGCCCTAACGGCGTAGGGTTCGGGGCCAGCTTAAGGGCACTGAAAAATTGTGGATTCTAGACGCTCTGTGTTGCAATCTAAGGCAATTTCTGACCACTTTAGGCAATTTGTTTTAGCAAAAGATTATCATTTAAACATCATTTTCGAGTTTGGAGTCATTGAATCAGCTGTTCTGAGCTGTAGAATATATATCAGGCTACAATTTTTATTCAGTGACGAAAAAAAGTGTGGGGGGGGGGACAAACGATATGATAAAATCATGATATTCAGCTAAGAAAACAAAAAAATGGGGAAAAAGGAGGCGTCTGTAAATTGGGCTGAACCTTAGACAGCGAAGGGCTGCCTATAACGTGGGGTCTTGAACAAGTTCAAAGAAATCCCCCAAAATAAGAGATTATGGTTGTTCATGATAATTATGTCTACGTCAAATTGTTTTTTTTACAGGGTAAATTTATCAGATAAGTCCCTAGCCTTGGTCAATGCTCTCGTCGTTATTCGTCCCGTACGTGGTCAATCGTCGGCATATATCCTCACGCGCTATGCACATGCATGTAAAAATACAGCGCGAACAGCGACCTCACGCGGCCACTATTTTTATGCAAATCAGTTGGAGACGATGTCGAGCCTTGGTTCAATCGTCCATGTGAATTTTTGGGGGTGGTGCTCATTATGTTAATAGCCTTAGCTGACCTTAAATGTCGTTTTCTTATTGGTCGATCGTTGCGTGGAAACTTGCATAGTGAAACGTGGCACCGTACATAATCCATACACGAACACATTGTGTGTCTCTGCACACGGCACCAATACACAAAAACTGTGGTTCCTGTCACGTCCGCAAAAGGCGGAATAGCTGCAAATAATTTGATGACGTCCGGATTTACCAAGGTGTGATTGGACACTCCACATATTAGCCCTGCCTACATTATCTGTATTCGCATACGAGGTCGTGCGCTGGAAATCTAGCGCAAAGTAAAGAAAAACATAAGCTTTGGCCGACGATTGAACCAAGGCTCGACATCGTCTCCAACTGATTTGCATAAAAATAGTGGCCGCGTGAGGTCGCTGTTCGCGCTGTATTTTTACATGCATGTGCATAGCGCGTGAGGATATATGCTGACGATTGACCGCGTACGGGACGAATAACGACGAGAGCATTGACCAAGGCTAATAAGTCCCCCACGTTAGGCAACCCTTCGCCTAATTCGCCCAAAGGCCTAGTGTTTGAATTTTTGGCTTTTTCGCAAAGTTGTAGAAAAGCCTGTATTTTTTTCAACATTTTCCCGGCCTTCACCTTGGGCCTTCATCTTGCTGGAGTGCAGCAGAGGATGCAATAAGGCAACAGCAAGACTCCAAGTGGAGTGAATTGAATGCAGTTGAGTCATTGTGCGGTCCCGACAAGCAGCCTTGCTATTGAAGTGTATTTGTCCATGGGCAAGACACTTTATATCAATATCTGCCTCCCACCAACCCAGTAGCAAATAGATACTCGTACAGGCAGAGATGATCATTGTGTTTGAATTGTCTGTTTACAATGAAAATGTTGGTAAAACTGTTAAGCCTAAGACACACATTCACGGTTTTGGGCTACGGATTTTTACGGTTTGAAATTCGTGATAAACCGTGGGAGTACCATATTTATCCATAGTACATCCGTGGTTATCCGTCATCTTCCTTTGGTATTCGTGGAGGGGCTACGGAAGTTTTAAACTGTTCATAACGTCTATGGTGACCCGTCATGAAAATTAATCCGTAGTGCAACCGTGGGACATCCGTAGGACAACTGTATTTATTCGTAGAGTTATTCGTGGCTATTCGTGCATATTCTTGAAGATTCGTAGCTCATTCGTGATAGAAATATCTACGAATTCGGTACGAATGTCCTACAGATATGCCCGGATGTGCTAGGGTTCTGCTAAGGTTGTATACTACGAATATATCCACGTTTCATTCATAGGAGAACCTTGATCATCCGTGGCCCAATCGCAGACAACCGTGGCGTTAACGTCATTATTCTTATAGTAATACCGTCGATATTCTTCACCATTCCGTCCATATTCTTGACAAAACGTGGTGTATTCGTAGAGAAACCGTAGGACAGTCGTGGCCATCCGTCCTGAAACCGTAGTGCATCCTTAGAAAGTCGATTTCTCCACGAATCTCGACGGCTCATTGTGATCGATTGATTCTTGGTAAACCGTGGATATTCGTAGCTCCAACCGTGAATGTGTGACTTGGGCTTTACATAAGTTCGGGGTTCGACTTTAGCGGTGGCCCGCAAGCCTAAGTAGCCCGGCTGGCGAGGGCTATGGCAAAGATGAAAGGACCGGAAGAAATAAAGCATTCAATTCAGAAAATAAACCTGTATCAATTTGTGTCTAATTTTATTATTTGTTTAGGGTAAACAAAATGATGTTTATTAAAAACACCCACACGATTGCCTCAGGATACATGTTTTGCATGTATGTACATTCCTGTTTTTAAGACACTCTACAAAAGAAAAACATGCGGGTTTGCGAAAATTAAGAGTCTGCTTCAGAAGCCCGGCTAGAAGAAATGTTAAACTATAGGGCGAATTTATTTTTGAAGAAAATCGTTTCGTTTTTACTGTACCTTATAATGTCTCGACAATGGAAAAAAAAATAATGGGATAAGGAAAAACAAAAAGTTATGTGGTGTTGACCAAGCATTCAGGGGTCGCGATTGGTTACCGACTCCCATATAGGGCTCTTCCTGGGTCTCGGATTCCCTGGCCCACCACACCTCCTTCCCTGTCCATCCATGTAACCCCGGAGGGCCAAGCACCGTTAAGGGAGGAAACGAGGCGACACCCTATGCCTTGCTGCCGAGACAGCAAAAGAGCCCCGTACCTATGAGTAGATGCATAACCTGGACTTCGCAGACAGTCCCAGCCGGCTACTTAACTGATTGAGCTAAGGTCGGTTGGTATTTGACGACGGGAAATTAAGACTCTTGAGTAAATGACTGAGCGCGTGTATTGAAAACCAAAAAACTCACCGCGCTCCGTATCGAACCCCAGACCCCGCGGTCTGTGGACGATGACCCTAACCACTAGGCTAATTGTAATCACAGTTTTCGAACCAGTGATTCTTAATAATATGTAGTCGGAAACACTTGGCGGATTGTCAGCTCAATTTGCGCTTTGGATTCTAAACTTCTAAACTGCTGTCATAACAAACGATTTAAATGACGTGTAAACGAACCTG